TAATAAAAAATATGTATTGTATTATTTAATTTGGGGCTTATTTTGTTTCATGCTCATTTGCAGATCCGCCCCCTGCAGTTTTAGTTTTAAATCAAATTTAATGTCCGTAGTAAGCTTTGACAATAGTAATAGTAATAATATGTTGAATCTTTCAACGCACAATTATCGAAAAAAAATCTTTTGTTGAATACGAATCAATTGTTTGTTGTATGAAAGAATGTCAAGAAAACCTTTTCACAGTTTTAATAATAAAGAACAATAATAATAACATGTGCCATTCATTTATTTAGAAATAATAATATTAAAAGTCTGCGTCAAGGAGTAAACAATATTTCTTTGATGACTCTAGTCTTTTGATATTTTGATTTGCGCGGTTTTTTTCTAGTAAACATAATAACATGGGGCATACTACAACAAAAACTGGGCAGTGAATATTGTGTCACACGGGATTACAGGGTTCAAAATTTAGCAATTACAGTTTCTTTGTTGTCAAGTTTTTTAACAAGGAAAAATCCTACATTTCCAGCATATTGTTGTTGCCTAAAAACATCATAATTATCTCTTAATGATTTAACCTATATATGTGTATGTATATATATATATATATATATATATAGTTATAATTATAATTAATTATAAATAAAATAAAATAAAAAATTTTTTAAATTAAATATAAAACAAACTTGATCAAACTCCCAAACTTGATCAATGCTATCAACTTTTCCATTATTAGAAATAACCCATGGTGGTTCAGTTAATAAAGCAGGAAATCCAAACCAATAGTGATACTTGTATTTTTTTAAATCAGCATAAGTTATAACTAGAAATCTCGTGAGAAGATATGGATTTTTTACTGCTTCACCAGAAATTATATCTTTCCAAATCTAAATATGTATATATATGTATATATGTTCACATTTGTATTGAATAGGATTTATTTTAAAAAAAAACAATAGAATAAATAAAATTAATTATTTACACACACATTAATATGAAAAATCATACTTGTTCTGCAGTCTCTTTGAACAAAGAATTTTTATCCAATTGTTTAAATTCTTCAATTGTGTTAGTATTTTTTATTATACCAATTGAAGGATAAGAATATGGAGGCAAACTGGTTGCATATATTAAAAAATTATAGAATTATTATTAAAAATCAATCAGTCAATCAATCTATCAATTCTCAAGTATCATTAATACTTGATCTTCTCACCGTGAAAAAGAAAGATATTTTTTATCATCATCTTTGTCTTTATTCAATTCTTCTTCAAAAGCTCCAGTTCCAAGACATAAGCGAGCCGGAATATAAACATTTGATTCAGCGTTATTATTGCTAGAGGTATGTTGAGAAGAAGTTATTCTATGACTTGTTGAATAATATCCCAAGATGGTTTGCGGTGCATCATCTAATTTGTATAAATCAATTTTCCTTGTGGATAAATTATGCCAAAATGTTGCCTCA